CCCTCACTCCTAGTGGGATTATTCGATCGAGTGATAGATTTACTTTTAGTTCTTTAAGGAACCTCCATACTGTTTTCCATAGAGGTTGTACTAATTTACATTCCCACTAACAGTGTACAAACATTCCCTTTTCACTGCATTTGTGCCAACATCTATTATTTTTGGACTTTTTAATAATGCTCATTATGACTTGAGTAAAATGATGTCCCATTGTGATTTTAATTTGCATTCCTCTGATCATGTTTGCTGCCCAGTTGCATCTCTTCTTTCGAAAAATGTCTGTTCATGTCACTTGCTCATTTTTCAATGAGATGATTTGTCTTATTCTTGCTGATTGATTTGAGTTTCTGGTAGATCCTGGATAGTAGTGCCTTGTCAGATATATAGTTTGTGAATATTTGTTCCCATTGTCTATTTTATTCCGTTGATTGTTTCATTCTCTGTGCAAAAGCTTTTCAGTTCAACTATTTATTTCTGTTTTTAATAATAATATGTTTAATGCCAAAGATACTATTCCATAATCTGTGTAGCAAAGATAATCACAAAAATTGCTTGTTGAGAGGAAAATATTTGATATTATAAATCTTATTTTATTTAGCCAACAATCGGTTATTGTGCAGTGATTATGTATCCGTCAGCATTATGTATGGGGAAAGTTTCTATATAGAAATGAATAAAATGAGACTCACTTTTCAAGGAATTTATGCCCAATTTATATGGCCATTGACACTGTAAAAATAGAATGCACTCTGTCTAAAGAGATTGTTTTGTCATAAGCACCAGAGTCTTGGTGTTATCTTATATATCTGTTGACACTATAATCATCAATCATCCAAATAGAAAATTTCTCTCTAGTTCTTTTGACTCATACATTTGGGAAAGAAAATGAAAGCAATAAGTAACAAGAGAAATGGATATGAAATACAATGATTTATGTCTTTCCTTAATAGGAAAGAAATGAAAACATAAGGAATTGCAGTGTCATTACCACAGATAAAAATCTTTATCTCCTTCTTATTTTTTAGTCTTAGTTTCAAAGTGAAACCATATGCAAGTGGAACTCCAAAGATATTTTCCTGATTCTGATTTCCCTTCTTTGAATATGTGTGGACACAAGAATTATCCAAGGCAGTCATGGGGTCACCAAATTATAGGACACTAACTTTTAGAAAAACAATTGGCACCATTTTCAACAGCAGAGATTATATTTTATGAAGTCTTTAGAAAACTGAAATTTAATTAAGATTTGTTGAAGGAGATCAAGTTAAATGGCAACAAGTTACATAAGCAAGCATATTTCCCATGGTT